TATGCTACGCCTTGTTTCTACGCACTAAACCGTGCCTTATTTCCACATCAAATACGATGTTTTCATGGGTTAGGGTTAGCCGACTTCATGGTGTCTTTTCTTCTTTTCTTCCCACAGAGAGTGAAGAGAGGACCCCCCTCCCCCCCGCCACGCCATCAATTAAGACCCCGGCTGCCTATGCTTCTGAAAAACTTGTGGACGTTTTCAGCCTTGGGGACATATAGCAGACTTAACAGACTATGGATGTGGCTGCAGTGAGAGCCCACAGCCACTTAGCAGACTTAGCCGACTTGGGGCGGTGGCTGGGGTGCCGAGCGGCCCCCCCCAGCCACGTCAGCCCCCCCGACTTAGCAGACTTAGCAGGCCTACAGACTTAGCAGACTATCGGCAGTGACTGCAGGGCCCTGCACAGGAGTGCAGTGAGAGCCGGCAGCCACCTATCGGCCGCTTATTAGACTTAGCAGACTTGGGGACGTTTAGCAGACTTAGCAGACTTGGGGACGTTTAGCAGACTTGGGGAAAAGGCTGCACTTCTATGTATGAATAAATGTGAATAAAAAAAAGTTTCTTAAAAGATCTTTAAACCCAGTGGACCACCCGAGGTTTGAACTCACGTTCTCTGGTTTCCAAGACGGGTTCTTATCACAGTGAGCCATACGACCTGACACAGTTAGATGTTCCCTGGCCTAGCTGAGATTTTCACCTCAGGTTTGGACTTTTAAAAAAACACAGCTCAAGCACCTCTTATTGGACCTGAGACATTATTGTTTCGTAGAGCTTATGTCTTGTTCATTTGAGTTTGTGGACCTTAAAGATGACTGGACCTGAAGAGCCTTGAACGCACAACCTTCAGTCTCACAGGCAGTCTTCTAACGCTCTGAGCCATTTGACCTGACACAGTGTGAGAACGTTTTGAAGTGGTTTTGGCTTTTTATTTGGGATGATGGACTTTAAGAAAACAATGCACCTCACAAGAATTGAACTAACAACTTTCTAGGCAATATTGTATCTCTGAGCCATTTGTTCTGGCTCTTCTCCATTTCATTTTCTAATCTAATTCTTCACTTTGGGTGTTGGCTTTCAAAAATCACTGCACCTCACGAGGATCGAACCTAAGACGTTGGAGTTGGTGAACAGTTGTCTATCACTCAGAGCTATTTGAGCTGTGAAGCCTTCTATCGTTTGGGAGGAGTTGGGAAAAAATAAAATGTAAAAAAGTTAAACAAATAGAATTTTTTTTTAAATGACACTGCACTCACGCAAATAATAAGGATTGAACTCAGGTCCTCTTGTCTTCAGACCTTTATCATATCACTTTGAGCTATGTGACTTCAGATATTTTTTCAGTCTCATTTTAAAATAATTCTTCAAGGTTGGATTTTGGACTTCAAGAAATCAACGAGGTGTTAAGCTGTCGTTTTGTACAGCTTGTGAAACAAAGAACAGGTGCAAAGAATGTCAGAGTATAGTATGTCCGAAATAATTGAGTATATTCTTAAATATACAGAGATAAATGGACTTGTTTGCCATACTGCAAATAAGTCAGACTGTGGAAACGCAGACGTGTGTGTTAGCTCGACAAGAAGTAGCAGACAGTGGGTGAGAGTGAGGATTTCTCGCAGAGCTTGTCGGGGATCTCCCTCCCAGATGCAGCTCTTTGTGAGGGCCGCTCAGTGAAGCCTGCAGTAAACGCTGAAATCCACAGGAGGCTTTCATCCCTACTGCTGTGTTTCATCTGAATAAATAATAACCACTTATCTCTCAGATTCCCATAAAAAGATTACAATCTGACCACATAGTTGTGCCAACATCATGATTTAACCTCCTGTAAATCCTTTATTTGGTCATGACCTACGATGAAAAGGGGTGACCCTGGATATAATCCTCTTGTGTTTTATTACCGAGTGGGTTTTAGGTTTCACCATAATGACTCATAATCCCTCTTTGGATTTTTAATAGGTGTGAAATTCCTCGGCTGGGGCTAAGGGGATTTTTTCTAAATTAAACTCTGAGCCAATTACCATTCTGCATTACAACTTTAGAGGACAAGCAAGCAAGAAAATCATCATCTCTTTAAACAAGACAGTGATTTGCTTAATATGCAACCTTTCCCCCTGGACTCACCACTGCACTGCACTTACACAGTTTAACACCCTGACTTTGGAGGGCTACCTAAGTGCACAGAACAACCAACTGTGCCACCAACACAAATGCGAGAGGACATGTTCTCTTCGTGTATCAGTCTTTTCATTTTGGGTTGTTGGACTTAATACATGACTGCACCTCCCAAGGCTTGAACTCACAACCTCAAATCTCCTGCCATGTCTCACATCTCTCTTTCATAGTGGTTTTGAATTTATATTTATATATACAGGCTAGCAAGTGTGCGTCATATGAGAGGCCCCGCCTTAAATTTTCCGCCAAAGATTTGGGAAATTGGTCCCTGCGCAAAGCATTGTGGGGATTTTAAGACCGCGTAGGATACACTGGTGCATCCTCGAAATTTCCCGCAATGAAGGATTCAGTCCGGTTGAATTCCAAGGATCCTGGACATTGGAACAGTCCTTCGGCGGGATTCGATGACGTAGCATCCTTGAAATAGTGGCTCTGGAGGAGCCTTCCTCGACATTGAGAAACACCCTCTGTTCACCTGGAGCCCTTCTTTTTTCCTGCCCTACCCCTGTATAATAAAATACAACAGATGGACTCAAAATGGTCTCCTTTGTATTAATAGCTGGAAATCCTTTCTTTTTTGTGTTTGGGTGAAAATAGAACTTTGGTTGAGGGATAAACATTGTATTAGAATGACAGGGAAATACAAATACTTTTGAAGCGGCTTCCTTCTCCCAAAAATAAACCTGTGGGTAAAAAATAAAAGTAAGAAAATACGGCGGATGTTTTTATCATCACCTTTATACGCCTGGGTCTGCGTGTTGTCTGCAGCCTGTGCTTCTGCACTCAGCCCGAGGGCCGCGCTGTGGTCCCTAACCACCGGGTAGCCCAGTACACCAGAACACAAGGGCCTCTGCTCCTCCTCTTCCTCCCTGCCTTCCTCGTCCTCCTCGTCCTCCCCCTCCTCGGCGGACTCTCTCCTCTCCCCGGCTGCTGGGGGGGCGTAGATCTTCCTCCCTTGCTTGGTGTCGCAGTAGGTGGCTGCTGGCTCCTTGTTGTGGGAGCCTACGGGGAGAATTGATAATCAGGAAATCTGCTGGGGGAACAGTGACTCTGCTGGGACTTCCTCTGGGAGGGCACTTTAGTCTCATTACCTTCTGACAACAGGTAGCTATTGTTCTGCTTCAGGGTTGAACTGAGGACAAACGATGTTAAACGCAGATCTATTAAACTACTTAGAATGAATCCTGTTGCTCTAAATGTGTGTTTACAAGTATGATTCTCAGTAAATGAATAATGCTCTGACTTCTTCACAGCTGATGGATGGATCTGCAGGCTGCTGGACTGTGAAATGGACTGTTAGGTACATTCTCCATCTGGGAGATGGTGCTACTGTATTCAGGCGGACTGTAACCATGGTGACCAATTGGATTTTCCTGAATCGAAGCCAAACTGCTGAGTGGAGGCTCTGTCTCCACGTCCCAAATCTCCAGGCAGTTACAAGTCAAATTAACCTCGAACACACTGTACACAAACTGCTTTACAGATACTGTGTTCTTTAAAACTGCAGGGACGCTGCTGTGTTATCTATAGTAGAACTCATCTGCAGAATACACAGGGGCGCAAAAAGCAAGGTTCATTTTGAAATAAGGAGCCTTATAAACAACATGTATAGAAGAAAAGCCATCTCATTTCCAGCACCAAATAATTATGTATTTTAGCCTCTGAATTTAATTGTTCAAACTTTCAACAACACATATATTTTTCAATATTCATGAATTCAGAATCAAAACTTCACATTAGAAAATATAATAAATACATTCTATGTATAAATATATTCAAGTTTATCAAATGTTATTAGATAGTTGCATGTTTTGAGGTTGGATTGTATGAATTGAGTACCAAGCAGGAAGCAACACTGTGCACTGCTGTGAATGGGGGACAGCGTAAAACACATTTTAAACATCCTAAGGAAAGGAAAACAAATATTCGGTTTAAAGTATGCTATATAAAGGATATTTGACCACTTTACTTTGCAGTCAGACAGCCCTTTGTGACAGGGAACTAAAACTCTGACCAAAGCCACCAGACTCCTTTGTCAAAACACATCATTTGACTTCCTGTCCTCCTCCAAACTGATGGTGTACCATTAACTGAAGGTAATACATTGATGTATGTTCACTTAAAATAAATAAATAATGCCACTTTGGTGTACTTTTTTCACTTTAATCTGCACTGTACCGTTGCTGCTGTAATGCCATTATTCCCTCTTTAGAATCTATACGTTAAAATGAGTGATTCTTACAGTATGTGTCCACAGCTGCTTCACACTCCTTCAGGTTATTACATCCCTGCAGCCATCTGAAGGCAGCTGGACTCATGTGTTGATGAATCTGCAGCCTCTGATTGGAGAAATGCCTCCACAGAGCACAGGGCCATTATGCACAGCTGTCCACGGGGTTTACTTTCATTAAGGCCCCGGCCCCAGGAGGACGAAAACGGTCGTTTGCGTTACTGTTTAGTGTCGGCCACACGAGGAAGACCGAATATGACAGTAAACAACTGCGGAAACGATAACGGGTCCCAAGTTGGATAGAACGGCATACGCAACGCTCTGGGGGGTCCAACGGCTCCGTGTGTGCGCCCGATACGATCATTTTCTGATAATGATGACGCAATAGCCCCGCCTCACCCCACCTCTGCTGCTCACCCCCGCGACTGCCAAGGCACAC